ATTATCTTTTATTGACAACTTAAAAATGAATAGACATGGTTTATTATAGCAATATTCATAGAAGCAAACAGTCTTATTTGTTCATTTCAAATGGCCACCCCGTGCTGAGATACACGCCTTCAAACGTTTCGGGACGCTATCCACGATGGCCGCAAGTTCTTCTTCAGATATTTCTTCCAAACCTTTAGAAGAGATGCTTTCAAATGTTCCAGTGATTTAAGCGGGGATTTACAGGCCCTTGACTCCAAGATAGTCCACACCGAATAGGATTCAAATCCGGTGAGTTGGAACGCCATTCCTCTTTCGACAAAAACCTCGGAAAAAGGGGTTCGCAGAGACTAATAGTATTTTTTGCCCCATGAGCCGGCGCTCAGTCTTGCTGAAAAATCCAATCGTGCTTGTCAAACTGCTGTGATGCCTAGGGATCTACTGAGTCAGTCAAGAGCTTCTGATACATTGCTTAGTTCACTTTTACCTCTTTGTTTATGAAGATCAAGATTGCCGGTGTGAGTTATTGCATCCCAAACCATGACGGAAGCCAGATGATGACTCCTTGAAATACTTTCTTGATTTTTAGAAGTAACAGGAAGCAACTGCCGGTCATTCTGGTGGTGTGATGCTGCTCGATAGTTAATTTTTTTCATCGGTAAACAGCACTGACTGATGGCGGCCCTCGGATAACCGGTTCAGAAGAACCTTAACTTTTCTGAACCGATTTGTTTTCATGGTATCATTCAAGTAGTGGTTTTTGCATAGTTTGTATGAGTTAAGCTTCAAGTCAGCATGAACTATGGCAGCAGCGGAAGATTTCGACATTTCCAGTGATTTCGCCAACTTTCGGATGAAAATTGTTGAATTTCCGGTGCGTTTTTTTCCTCTCCAGACGCGGTCCTCTAGCGTTCCAAGCTCTTGGAATCATTTCATTGAGACACTCACAGTAGATTTTGCCATATTCAACGTCTTTACAATCTCTGACACTGTTTCCTTGATGAAAGTTCAACATCAGCTCCGTGCAAACTATTCGGCTTCATTTTACAATAATTTGAAATCACAACTCAACAAACAATTCAGAGTCACAAATAAGCATATATGTATATTGAATAAATGCTTTATAACAGTGTACAATGCTGAATAGAAGAGGATGTCGAACTATGTGCTGAAAAAAGCTCATTAAGATCGCCCTCCCCATGGACATGGAGGTTGACGGTACTGAAGCAAAGGGTTATGTTTAATTTCTTTATATTTGCAACGATGATGATTTCCTATAGTGACACATATCAGCTTCTTAATGCTTCAGTATACCTCAAACGATTAATTCTTGGTTGTTAATAGAACTTCCTTGATGCAATCGGCTGCTTCATGCAGACTGAGCAATTCTGATTATAGTATCAGATTTGTTCTGTATACAGAGGAATTGGGAGGGTTTATTAGAAACATCTCACCAATAAAGTAATGATCTTCTAGTAAATTTTGCATATCATTTTATTAATATTTTATTTTATTTAAGCATATTATTTGTGTTACAGTCAATTTGCATTAGCATATGATACAAGAGATTTAATATTACTTGCTCGTTTTTGCGCAAAATAATCAATATTTATTTTACTTGTAATTACCTTTGAAAGTTTTTTTTCAAGTTTTTTTTTTGTGATCTGAAAATTTACCCAGTTTGGTTAGAAGTTTCGAAGCTAACGCATGTCCACTGGCTTAATAGAAAGATAGGCAGAAAAAGTGTATCATGAAGAATGGTTGCATGCAGGGTTGCTTCCACTCACTTGCTATAGATGAGTGATTTTCGGAGTTTTGAATTCGTTAGATGTTGTAATGTAGAGTTGTGTTGTTGGATGCGGGAGGAGATTGGAGGGCGGGTGTTTGACGCATAGAGCCGTCAATTTCGCTTTCAGAGTGTCACAGTCAGCGGTTTTATGATTCGTGAGCGCTCGCGATTCGTAGAATCGTTGATTGTGACTGCAAGTGGATTTGACGGGTTTTGTGTGTCGGACGCTTGCTTTTTGGCCTCTTCTTGTGTCTAACATGTGCAGAGTATCATTATAACGTCTAATGGTTTTGAGATTCCTGGTGGCGTGAAATATATTTGTGAGAATATCTTTTTGAGATTTTAGCAATCACGTTTTGTTTGTAGTTTATATTTTATTTATTTCATGTAATTATCGTAAATAATAGTTATTCAAAGCGCTGTGGATTATAAGATGCTCGATGACCCTCGAGGGATCGATTTTGCTTACTGAGCAGAAAATCATGGATTTAACCCCAAGCTCTTCCAAAGCATAATAAATCACCACCATCATTTGTATATTTGATATTGAACATTAACCTCGGAAACTATTTGCATATCAAGCGAAAATGTAGTCCTGTATTGTCGCGAAGCGTTATGGTTCTGAGATGCTCGATGACCCTGGAGGGAGCGTTTTTGTTTACTGAGCAGAAAATCATGGGTTTAATCCCAAGCTCTCCATCATGACTCTTAAAATTCATGATCACTAAACAAAATGAATATGTTCTTTCGATAGCCGGCTATCGAGAGATTAAATAAACAACAAATAAACAATACATACTTTTGGTTGCATCGCCAACTTGAGGTGAATCCTAACCGAATACTCTACCCAACCCTCCAACTCCGTAGCACTTATGAGGGTGTGAGGTGGCCTCTCGTTAAGTAAGTACTACATCAACATTTCCTTCCCTACCCCTAAATATGGTAAAGATGGGCGTGGCCGGGAATAGCGACAGTCATGCTTCTGTTACTCTTGTTTAGATTGGAACCAATGTTTACTCCTCAGCATTATTCCTGAAAGTAGTCTAACTGAGAATTTCAGAAGAGACGTGAGTGTCGCTAGTATCCAATCTACGAAGTATATCATAACAACGCTAACGCTAACGCTAACGCTAACGCTAACGCTAACGCTAACGCTAACGCTAACGCTAACGCTAAAAAAGCTCATTGAGATCGATAGATGCGCCTTTATTCCGCTGTTTGCTCTGATTTGATTAATATACTTATTAAAAGCTATACAAACGATGACTGTCTTCCTGATTCAACACTAGAAGTTTGATCTAATAACATACTGAATAAGTGTAATTTGCACATACATTGACGCTGTAATTCGACTGTTTTCAATTGATTTAATAACATGCTCTATTATACGTCTAATAATTGTTTTCTAGCTCCATTATTAGATTCCATTGCATTGTTTAACAATATTGCTGAATATAGGTGAATAAAGTCAGCATAATAGCTTTTATACCACTATGCGTCAATGTTTTAATTGCATGCTTTGTAAATGCTTTACAAACGGCGTATTCATTCATTATTTCACAACACTGTTTCAGACTAACAACAAAACAAAATTGGTAGCATAGTGGTTACCGTTTCCGCTTTCCAAGTAGAGGGTCGTGAGTTCAATCCCAACCTCTCAACCCTTTTTTATTTATTGTATACGCCTAATTAATTTAGAGTTAGAGTTACGGCTGGGAGTGCTGATAGGTATTCAGATTCAAGTCTGTATTGCTTATTTAGCTGCCCATATGATGTATTCTAGGATAGATCAGATGTCAAGGCAAGCGGCTGGTGATCGGAAGGTCATGGTTCGAATCCCATCTAACTACATGTGTGTATGTATGTATGTAATAAATTTTCTAGTATCTGTGTGGTTGGTGCGTGCTTCGACAGAAATAATGATACAACAATCACTAAATGAGAAACAGCCCTGCTCTGTGCCGTTCTTATTTTCGGATTAATTATCCCGTAGTTGAATAATTTTTCAATAAAAGTATAATAGTCTTTAATTAAACATTATTTCACATGAGAATCAAGCGTCTTTATTCGCCTTTATACCATCGTTGTTTAAGGAAGTAATGATGTCTAATAATCGCTGAATAATCAAAAATTTGATCGAATAAGCTCTGTTACAACTCTTGCAAGTCGAATAAAAGCTTCTTGACATACATACTTAGAAATACCTAATCTAACCGTACACGTGACGGAATCCATTTTCGACATAAAGGTTGATAAGTAAACAAACATGTCATGTAAAATTAAGTACTCTGAGACTTAAAAGTTCCAACGTACGTTTGATTGAACTGAATTTCGCGTCTTTGATGACTCAATTTTATGTCAAAATTGACGCTCGTATATGACAGTCTCAGGGCACCTAAATTTACATTAATTTTTCTAAGTGTGTACCTTACTCAACACCAAATATGGTTGAATAAATTCTCCAGATTTTTGTGAACAAAGCCTGAACAGAAGTTATTATATAAAATAGTACAAGGTATTATTAAGCATGCAGTTGAATAAAATCGTCAAGAAGTCGTTTCTTCAATAGGCAATTGTTTGTTGGGAACTTTACCAAACTTACTGCGTATAAAGACAATAGGTCAAGATATTATACCATACAGGTATGCTTAGTTTAATCCGTTTGGTTGTATAGAAGCATGCTGTCAAATTCTGTACGGATAATTTGCAGACACCCTGTATACGTTGTGTCCGCAGGCCTTGGATACAACGTATACTTCATCAATTTAACATAGCATTTGTAATGCAAAATTAGACGAGTTCATGTTCCCACGGATACAACGGTGTTAGTCAGGTAAGACAGTATAAGAAATGAAATACTCTAAATGTTTATAAAATACATCAAATTTATTAATGCAGATTTTAATAACAGAATCGATGTAGGTTAAATTTTGAAATTATAAGAGCAATTTTCGATTAACTTTTGAATATGTCCTTTGTCAATTAAACAATCGATTAGCTTGATTTACTTTCTGCCACGACCAGTGCGGTATTTTCGCAATAATGATATTGAAAATCCACCGCTCAGTTCGCGGTAGAAAACGAATCAAGTTAATCAAGTTTTTCTATCGCCAAATGGACATAAGACCTATTCTAAAAGGGCTCCAGAATTATGTTTACAATTTGTTAATCATGAGCATCATGCATTCTGCTTAAAGACAGACTGTTTTCTTTAAACTTGCAGCCATTTGGCCCCGCCAGCAGGTGGGCAGTTTCGTGAGCCAGCGACTATCACCTCGAGGTGCCCAGCCTTCTTCCAGTCACTCATCCTCAAAGAAAACACGCCGTCGGGTAGCATCGATGGCACAACGACGGGCTGCCAACATTCGCGAGCGACGGAGAATGTTCAACTTGAACGAAGCATTCGACAAGTTGCGAAGAAAGGTATATCTCTACTGTTAACCACTTTTACAACCGGAGTAAATTCTCATAAATTGTTTGTAATTCAAGGTTCCAACATTTGCCTACGAGAAGCGCCTTTCGCGCATCGAAACCCTACGTTTGGCAATTACCTACATTGGTTTCATGTCGGAGTTGCTGAATGGGACACCTACGCATGACGGCCGCTCGCCAGAATTGTATCCGAATCTTGTTCACCCGCACCACGCCAATCATATTCATCCCCCGTTTCATCAGAGGGAATACATTTCACCCTACGCCACCCATACTGGTTGATGGTTTGGCTGTTCATCCACTTACGACGATAATGTAGTTGATGTGTGATGTATGTTACAAAAACAAATGCATATTAGATCTTCCATTAATATAAGTATAAATTGCAAAAGGTTTTGTAAGTAGGTATGTGCGAGCCAGTCTAATCAAATAACAAAAAAGATTAAGAGACAAAATAAATGTAGTTATTCAAGATGGATGGTTCGGACTTAGGATAATCTACATAATGTTACTCAGGAAGTAACCTCACTGAATCAAGGTCTATTTTATTCAAACTCCAGCAGCCCTCTTACATCAAAAATTTTAAACAGAGACCTCAAATGTTCGTGGAACAATGGATTATTGAATAAGTCGTACCGGAATTTATGGTTTTCCTCATCATCGCCAATAAGTCCCGCAAGGTTGGCATTGTCGCTCTTGTCTGCCAAGACTATCGGAAGAATTGAATACAAGCAATACATTCCAAAGAAACCTCGTTTCAATATTTCTATCTGTATGTCTCTCAAACTAGGGATAGCACCCGGATAGTTCAACTTCTTCAACCCTTTAGCCAGCTGCTTTTGGTAATACTGTATCAACTCGTCAAATTGAGTACTTTTTTTCAACTCCAACGATGAGGAACTTATAATGTAATAGAACAAATCTCCAACCGGTGAGCCATAGTACGGACCTTGGAAGTCAATCTGGAAATCGAAATTCACTTGTTATATTATACAAAATTTGATATTCGGTCGGTAAGTTAACCAGTAAAACATCCTTGGGAGCTCCAGATCCATGATAGCTATACATGTGGTTGTTGGTCCACACGTCTCCATGACAGAGAGTGACAAAACCCGAGTCATCTTTAGTGAGTGCCGCCGATAGCTTTTCGTATACATTTTCAGTGCTTTTTTCCTAAAAAATCGAAACAAAAATCAAATTTTAATCATCGTATCGATTTTTTACATACCAATTTAGCTATGTAGCGTTCATGACCCGACGAGGTCGAAAGAGATTCCAGGAACACCGGTGCTATAGTATTCAAATATTTCTCCATGAATTCTTTTCCGTTCGGTTTAATAAGAATATTGTCGTAAAGCGAAGACGTCGTTTCATTCTGGAATAGAAATGACGAATCTTTTAGAAGAGTTACTACAAGTAATAGTCATGAACCGGTCACAACCTTCCTGTAGTGGGTAGCACCAGCTGCGTGGAACTTGGCGAGCTTTGCGAGCAATATGTGGACGTGTTCTAAATTGGCACCCAGATGACGATTTCCCACGCTGTAGCCCTCGGCGCCGAGATCATCCAGAACAATGGTGTCCGCTTCGCCTTCATTGGTTTTCCAACAACGAGGGCCAAACCGTACCGTTTCGCCTGCCTCTGCCCACATTCGTTCCATCGCCGGTAGTGTCTCTTCGTAGAAGTGCTTTTCCCGAGTAAATACGCTGAAAGTCTTCATTTCTGGAGCGGTGATCATTGTTTTGATTATGACAATGAGAGACTTAATGCTGCCATCTGATGAGTAAATTAAATTTTTCAGTTAATTGGGATCTTTAGAGGTGATTGCATATTCATAATCTGCATTAAAAATGGAGCTGAAAACCAAAATTTCATCGCATTTGGTGCACTGTAACTATTTTAAACAAGTGCGATTACATTACCTTGTCAGTGCTTGGGGGTACTTGTGTACTTTATTTTGCTTCAATTTTTTATTTAAAAATAGAGATGAAATGCTATGGGCTCGATAACAGTGTGCTCAGAAAACGAAGCTCATAGTCTTTTTGATATATTTTTTAAATCAGACAGTGCTAAATATTCTGATCACTGGCGCAGCAAAAGGGGAGTTGGGAGGGTGTAGGTAGCGTAACGTAAAAGGTTACCAAACAGCAACAACCGAAATTGATCATGTGCGATCGAGGTTATCTCACCGGGTAACTAATTGAAATCAAGAAAAATGATAATACATCTATAAAAATAATTTTCAGTAGGGGGTCACTCTGTCACATTGTGCTAACACCCACAGAAAGATACGTCGACGCACTTCAAACACCCACAAACACCCTTCCATCGCATGATAAACAAATGTTTTAATCAATTCTAGCACCACTGAAAAATAATGTTTACATTCGATTGTTATTTTGTTGTTTAAAAAAAGGAGATAAAAAACCGCCGTACCGCCATGCCGGGCAAGAAAAACATTCTGGATCGGGATTGAAAACCTTCAATCCGAAGAAAATTAAATACGAAACCCGTTAGAATCCACGAAAGCAGTAACATCAGAAGGAATAGATTCTAAAAAATTTAAAGATATCCTGCAAGAAAACCAAGACGAACGCATGGAACAGTTTGTAAACGATTGTAAATCCTAGATTCTCATCAGCAGCAGCCAAATAACGGCCTCACCAATTAATTGCAAATTGTACCCATTGCTTAGTCGGTCTTCCCGGATGACACGTGCCTTTTCGTCTTCCTCCTGACTTATATTTGATCTCTACAGCAGCACAGAACAGATAGGTAACTTAGAGCAAACGGTTTAATCTGAAACTGAGTTCATGCTTTTCATGTTATTTTTGCTATTCCTTTCTATTTTCATTTCGCAGTGCACATGATGATTTAAAATCTTGTATAAATTGGTATAATTACCGTTAAAATATTTTTCTTACAGTACGCTCCTAATTGTCTGAACATGCAAAAATTAAATTTTCTTTTTTTTTAATGCTTGGCTAAAACAATCATTATTGACGTAATTCTAGCGGTTTTGTTTGAATACGTGAATAGGGTATAACTTTGCATAAAATCACTATTAGTATCATAATTTGTTTGAACCAATTATAAACATATTTGATGGGATGTTGGTGAAATGTCTCGTTTTTAAATATGGTGATTGCAAATGTGTTTGTGTAACAACTATGTATATATGTACAACTATACCACTTGCTGTTCTGACTCTGTATGGTAATAATAAGGTTCGATGCCTCCGCCATTTAACCATTTATGATCAAGCAAATGGTGTATTTTTTTGTTCAATTCAACTACACAACATGGAAAACGCAACGTAAAAGTTTAAAGTCCATGTGCGGACAAAATGATATAGTTCAAAAGATCTGTCTGCAGGTTTGAGCCAAAGAGGAGTCTCAGAATTTTTGACTCATAAAACCTGCCGTAATACGTGATTTTATCATAAACCGTAAGTGGGGGTGACATTGGGCCAAAAATTAAACATGTTTAGTTTTGAAAATATCTGGAATATATAGAAAATGAAGACTAAATCATGTTGCTTGTACTCCTGAGGTAAAGCGTATATAAAATTTTCATGTTGTTTTGTTTAAATAGTGTTCAAAAGTTAAGTGCCATAAATACCTTTTAAAAGCGTTGTTTAAAATTGTCCATTGGTAATCACATATTTTAACACACTTTTATGTGGATAGACATGGATTAAATGTGATCCTTATTCATATATTCGATTGACATTATGATCATTATGATTCCAAATGTACTCCTCATAGTTACATTGCATTTACTTATTTTGAGATTTATGGTCAAATTCCTCATAAGGAATTTCAATTGTCCAGTTTTTATAGATTTTTTAGTAAAATGAAATTTTGATTTAAATCGACCATCTCTTCAACAGTCGTAAATATATTATTTATGAATAATTATTCGCATGCTTAAAACTTATTTCCTCGCAAAAATGTGAATTTGATAAGGAACGGAACTTAAAATTGTGTGTTTTTGGCACAATTTACCCCCCAAATAACGGTACTATCTTCTTTTTTGCACGTTCATCAAGTGCACCAGCGCGACTGTTGAAAGTTTAATAATTTGCGGGTCACGACTGCGTGTATTATTTGTAATTTACGTCATGTTAAATAGCCCAAAAATATTAACTATCAAAACAAAACTAGAATCTGACTCCATTGACACCCTCTTGTGTGTAATAAATAATTTCAAATACTTTTTGATGAATTTCTACTCATGTTTATTCCTTTAATTCATAAATCCACTAATAAGCTAAAGCTATACAAATATGCTAATAAAGATCATGTGTCAAATAAGCTGTGCATGCATAACATAATTATAATCCGTTGCGTTTGGCTTTTCAATACTAGCAATCTTTAGTAAAAAATTAAATTAACGTGCTTTAATAAAACGGTAAAGTTTTCATTTGATTCACATGATCAAAATATTAGGATAGTACTGTACGATTCTTGTTGTCAATTATACCAGTACCAGCAATGCCAGATTGAAAGAAAAATATGAAATCCTAGTACACAACTAACCTTGGATTAAGCCACTATGTACTGATTAGCATACAAATGTTACATGTAACATGACAACATGTTAACGATCAATAAATCAAAGGCATTAAGCAAAGGAATGTAAAAAATATTATCACACACGTAATGAATCGAAAAGTCTGGGAAAACTGGTAACAAGGCGCCACATATGAGATTTCTCCATGGGAGTAAAGAGTTAAGGAGCTCTCGTCAACGGAAATTCCTATGTCGAGTGTGGTGTCGTCCCACTGCTACCAGGAGGACTGAAAGAACAAAAGAGATGGCAAGTTACTATATGCTACATCACTATATGCTACAAGCTCGTATTCGTAAACAATGGGGTCATCCGTCATGAATGGAACGATTTTTTTCTACGACGAAATGCATTATCATTTTGCTTTTTCTGGACGACGGTTTTTACGCATAAAAAGTGAAAGAAGGAAGAGGTTTTGCTTTTCAACACAAACGAACACGGCCATGAGAAATGCCATTGGAGTAAAGAGAGTTTCCCTGCCATTTCTTTGACATATCCTCTGAAATCCCAAGATATTTTAACATCGTACAGGTAGAGCGATCTGCATGTGTATTGAATATAGTTTTGAGAATTCAGGATGGGATATTTTTTAATTAGGGGGAATGTTGGCTTCGGCATTTCTTTCCCTTTTATCGCCAGGGGAGTAAATGAAGTCTTAGAGTGTTATTTTTTTGCAGAACAATGCATTGGAACATGATGCAAATAAATACCCGCAGATGATAGTAGGTGAAGAAGTGCTGAATCCCACATTTCCCCTATTTTCTATCGTTAAACTTTGAATATGTTTTATTCCAAATGTGTTTTTGAATAACAAAGTGAACGAAATTATGATAATCATACTAGAATTAGCAGAAAAATCATACATACTGTTTTTCTTTGATGTGATCGCCCCACTCCACAATTAGCATTTTACTTATCCTCTGCTTTTTCAGGAAGCATTGATGAAATCTATGGATAGGAAGTGATCTGAGCATACACAAATATTTGGGGTGGCTTGGCTTGAAATGTAAAATATTTTACGTAGATTGATTCCCAGCGTTAGATTTTTCCAGCATCTAGGATTGAGATTTAGATGTGTCACCCCTCGATAATGTCACTATTACTAAACAAAAAAATGCTCATACCAAGAAGCAATGTTTGAAAAGAAATTGCCGATTTTTCTAAAATCTCCATACTGCAGAACAGCTTTATTCACCGCAGTTTGTTTTGGTTGCGTATGTTTTGGTAATAGAGCTAATAAACTATAGAGGCAGAATAAGTGCAGCGCCACAGTATCTCTTCTGGATTCTGGAAAAGTTTTCAGTCTTCTTGATATGATGTCTTCGGTAGAATTGTACTTGCCACACAATTATGCTAATGTAAAATGATACCGGCATTGAAAACTCTCAATAAATAACTGTGGAAGTGTATCTAGAACACTAAGCTTAGAGCACGCAATAAGCTTATATGCGATAAGCAATAGGTTTAAATGCGAAGTAGAAGAAGAAGAAGAAGAAGAATTCAAAACAAGCATATAATCTAAAAAATTAATAAGATGTTCTCATCTTTCCTACAGACACTCTATACATAAGCACTAACAAAAGTGTACACACCTTTCCTATGAATCTTGGGTATGTGTGAATTTTATATACAAGTAAAGCTGGTATAAATGGTAAAAGGTGGTTTAAGTGTAAATAAATTTTGATTGTAAAAAGCGTTCTCTCCACCGCTAGGTGTCACTACCAATTGAAATTTAAATGCCTCCGTTTCTGATTCCCATGTTACCTATCTGTTCTGTGACGTAGGTCACTCAATAAAACTGCCAGTTAATAGTAGTTTTATATTTGATTACATTAGATGAACTTAGAGTTATTTGTTTTTCATTAGGAAAATCGGCTGGAGTAGATAATGTTAATGCTAGAGTTATTCAAGATTGCTTTCATGCTCGGAAAAAAATCTGTTCCCGAAAACGGGAACGGACCGTGAACTAAAAGTCACGGCCAACTATCCAGAACAAAATTTTCTCAAATATACACCGTGAACTATGGTTCACGGCTGTGGTTCACGAATATGGGAACTCTTTTTTTCCCGTGTGTCATTGGCCACATCTTGCTGGACCTTATTAATGATTCATTGCAAACTGGACATGTGCCACATATTTGGAAGGAATCCTTACACTGAACCAATATGACATATTCCTGTTATGTGGAAATCTTATAAATTTG